AATGTATATAATTATCCCTGAATATTGAATTCATTGCAACGTTTCCTTATGAGCATTATTCGCCCGAAGTTGAACATTTTCCGGCCGGAGTTTTTTCAAATAATGCACTGAAATTGCGATTGGCGGGGATTGATGTTTAGTATTGACATTCAATTTTCGAGTGAGGTTTGACGACTTTTTCGACCGAAATTGTAATCTCATCAATCAACCAACTTTCAATTAATGCATACACCTAAACGTTTAATGTTGAGAAAAAATACCTACGAAACTTTTAAGGCTTCACCAAATTTCAGATAACACAACCAAAGGAACATTGTACTCTGAAAAATTGTACCACGTTGTTCTAACATGAAGGTCAATCCTTCATCCATCTAAGCACTTAGGGTTGTTTCCCGTTGGATATATATATCACACGGAGAAGGTAACAGCTGTTTTTTTTAGAAATGGTGTTCTAATTATGTTAAATGTTAATGCGTAGAGTGAATTTTCGTTTATATATATATATATTTTAAGTAAAGGTTCATTTTCTTTACGAACTCAGAAATTGTGATGAACCTCGGTCGGGGTTCTTATAATTCCCGGTCGAAAGTTATAATTCATAAGAACATCGCCTGAAGCGTACAAGTCTTTCACCCGAAACTTCATGATTTTCGCCCGAAACCTAATGGTTTTCACCCAAAACGTGACATATATTCAGTTTTTTTCCTTCGAATGTTCTTCCTTTTATTTTTCTTTATAATTTTATACACGTTTGCAGGATGCCTCGTCTGTTTGTTAGTTACGGTGGTTAGTGGAATGAGGCGCAATCTGTTTATAATGGTGGAATTATGGGAGGTTTGGATGTAGATGATAGTATAACATATAATGAGCTCATCAGTGCGATGTATTGGCTCACCAAAGTGGATATTGACAAGCTTGATATTGTGATACAGTGTTTATATAAATTTCATTCCCAAGTACCAAAGTATTATATTTTTTTATGATTATAGCCTTAGTTTTTTTTTAGAGGCCCTCCACATCCTTCCGAAGTTCCATTGTATGTATCTGTGATACCGAAGCAAAAACACGATAGTGGTAGTAATTCAAAAAATCTTGTCATTCCCGCATCTGAAGCGTTTGATTCATTTCCGTACCAGTTAGGTCAAGATGTCCTCATTCCTATTCCCATGCACTCCACGATACCGGGTGTTAGTCCCTCATGTTCTGTCCAATCAATAACACCGTTGAGTGACAATGTTGTCCCATGCAACTTAGGCGATGATGACAACGATGAGGGCGAAGATCACGATGGGGATAATTATGAGGGTGACGAATTTGAGGGTGATGATTCTGAGTTTGAGAATGATGTAAGATTTGAGAATGATGTAAGGATTGACAATGAAGAGGATGTAGAGCCAGCGGATGTGTATGCCCCATCTTTTGCACCCTTACATGAAGTTACCACGGTAAGTATGAATGCACCTTGCACAACTGCTCAAGTATCATCCTCTAGAGATATATTAAGGACAATTGATAAACTTGGTTTCACCTCAGAAGAAGAGATTGTAGTATGGAGTACTTTCAAATCGAAGGCAGAGTTGCAGTTCAATCTATCAGTCTTCGCAATGAGGTTGAATTTTGAATACCGCGTGAAGAAATCTACACATGTGAGGAGGATTCTTGGTTCTGATATTTTCCTCATCTCTAAGTTTTTTGGTGTGCATACTTGCATAGGTGAGGTAATGAAACATGATCACAGACAAGCACAAAGTCGCGTGGTGGGTCAGATCATAAAGGCAAACCTTGAGGATCCAAGTCGTCGTTATAGGCCAAATGATATTGTTAGTGAAATGCGTAGAGATTACGGCGTTAACATCCGTTACGAAAAGGCGTGGCTTGCGAGAGAAGTAGCGTTGGACTTATTGATGGGTTCGCCTAAGAAGTCTTATACTCTACTACGTAAATACGGTGAGGCGTTAAAATATGAGAACCTAGGTACGGTATTTAATTTGAAGCTTGAGGATGATAAATATTTTCAATATGCTTTCATGGCCCTTGGATGCTCTATCAGGGGGTTCACAAGTTGCATTCGCTCTGTACTTGTCATTGACGGTGCTCACCTGAAAGGAAAATACAGAGGTGTGATACTTATTGCTTCTTCGGTCGATGGTAATAATCAAATTTATCCACTGGAATTTGGAATCGTCGATAGGGAAACAGACGACTCTTGGACATGGTTCTTAGAGCAAATGAAAATGTCTATTGGAGAGGTAGATGGATTGGTTTTTGTGTCTGACCGGCACCAAACATTAATAATGTTGTTGCTACTGTATTCCCTAATGCAGAACACGTCACTTGCATGCATCACGTCAAGATGAACCTGAATGATAAGTTCAAGGACGAGGGCATGCAGACGCTATATCTTAAAGCAGCAAAGGCATTTAAGAAGTCGACATTTCGACATTATTGGAACCAATTTGCTGGATTCCCAGAAGTGCAAAGGTACCTCGAAGAAATTGGGTTCGACAAATGGTCACGGGCCTATCAACCTGGACTGAGGTACAACCAGATGACAACTAACATTGCAGAGTCCATGAATGCAGTACTTGTGCATGAACGAGCTTTGCTAGTTACTGCACTATTTGAACATTTTTGGGCTCTTCTACAACGATGGTTCTATGAATGGCGGACACGTGCAGCATCAAGAACATCCATTCTCTCTGAGTATGCCGAGGACATTCTAAGAGAAGCCTCGGAACAAGCCCGACGACCCACTGTTCGACCGATTGACAATTACGAGTTCGAGGTACACGCTGGTAGTAGTAAGATGCGTGTCAATCTGAACAATAAGACTTGTACGTGCAAGCAGTTCGACTACTACGAGATTCCATGCTCCCATGCTGTTGCTGCAGCCATGTTTCGAAATGTGAACAGGTACACGTTGTGTTCACCGAAATATAGTTTGGAGACACTAATTACTACATATGCTGAACCTATCTATCCACTGGGTGACGAGGACGATTGGGTTATGCCGAATGACTTTGTCGAATTCCCCATCAAACCCCCTAAGTACGTTCCTCAGGTTGGACGACAACAAACTATACGGATACCGTCTGCTGGAGAGCCGCACCAAGTTCATAAATGTAGCAGGTGTGGACTCCGAGGGCACAACCGCAAAACTTGCCGCCAACCATTACGAACCACGGACACTTAATCACATGTATTTCATTTTTTCGTTGAATATTGTTTCGGTCCATTACAATGGGAAACAGTTCTTTATCTGCTTCCATCTATGTCCATTTGCGTTAATCCAATATTTCATCAACTTATGCCCGTTGGTGTTAACCAATTTTTATAAGCCTGCACTAAATGGAGAATTCTGTGATAATTCTCGAGCGAAAACGATTCACATTCGCCCGAGGATTGGTAAATTTAATCAAACAATGTGCACGCACGCTGGAAAATAACTCGGGCGAAATAGAATAGGTTTCGCCCGGGGAATTTTCCAGCGTGCACATTGTTTGATTCGTATTGACCAATCCTCGGGCGAAAGTGAAGTGTTTTCGCCCGAGAATTATCACAAAATTCTCCATTTAGTGCAGGCTTATTCATGAAAAAATGACATATTGACCTGATCGAAATGTTACAGTACAAAATCATATTTTCGAACGCCACAATTATGCACTTACAAAGTCTTAACTTTGATTAAGCAAATGGTAAATAAAGTAAAGTACATCCATGTGACCCGTTATCAAAAAATTGACCTATTGGCCCACATTTCAATCGCTATCTTCTCCCTAAAAAACTTAATGTTCGACTGAGTTAATGTGGACAAATCAGAACCGGTTACATCATATTCAAAGAATTTAACGCAGAAAATCCCACAGTCCCCCGATCCAGCCTGTTGGGGCGCCGATGTTACTTGACGGATACGCCATGGCATATTCGGTAATGTTGGCCTAAGTACCTTAACACCAGCCATATGCATCAATGCCGGGAGGACGACACTCATTATTTTCAACTCGGCTTCCAATACCCACAACGGTGTGTTGGACATCATGGAATCCCACACAACGATCTCACCCTCCTCCAGATCGATGCAAACCATTATCTAATGGTTCCCACCAATGTTATACGGTAGGTAGACCGCGTCCAATTCAAGCCACCTTTTCTTATAGTCCGTGTGAGTACCGTCTATGTAGCTAAGGACAGTTTTATGCTTCTTGGTCCAGTTGTATTCTGATGCAACTCTCGCTGGTACCACATTCGGGGCTATCAGTTGTTCGTACACTCCGTCCGTATGTCAAAAGAAGTTCTGTGATTCGTATTGAAAATGTGTTAGAACACGATGTATTATGCAT